GCCTACGGACGTCTCTTGGAGGAGGACGTCACGGGACCGTCTGCTCGCGTGGAGCAGGACTCGCTGCCCGGACGCGTAGGAGCTGAGGAGAACTGGTGATGGGGCCTGCTTCACCTGTTTACCAGAGTGAGCAGCATGGCAGAGGGTGGTCTTCTGGGGTCAATGCTCACCAAATTATATACACTGGCAGGGTAGGAGTGGAAATTCTCGGCTAGCTTAAGCTATAGGCATTGGCTGGGCGTGCAGTGACGGTAGCAGCTGTAAAGTGTGTGTCATTGTTTATCGCCGTTGCCTTGCATTAATTGCTGCTTATATTTTTTATGGGTTTAGGCTTAATTAGTTCGTAGTCTAATTATACCTGCGTGGTGGCTATATTTCATTTTCGCATTTTCAACGCTCATTATCTTTACCGCTCCCCGCTCGCGCTCAACCGCTCTCCGCTCGCGCTCAGCTCAGCGCAGCCGACGCCGCGGCCGGCTCGGGACGTGTCATAGTTTATTCACGAGGTGACTCACTGTCTCCAGCACTCTGCGCCGCGCCGCCGGTGTGCTATCTACAAACGTCAGCTTTTAGCCTGTCTTCTGTCAAACGCGCTCTAAGGCCTCTATACCTAGAAGTCAGCTGCTGTCTGCTAAGTGTCGTCTCATGTCGTTGCAATGGTGCGTAGCCGGATGCTTTTAACACCACGGAACCAGCGCGTGAGGCACAAACTCACGTGACGCGTGATCGCAGGAGGCTTCCCGATGGTTCGACTTGCGACGACCAATCACAGTGTGCAAATCTTATATAACGCTAGCTCCAGGCCAATCGTGAGCTGCCACGCAGGGTTAGAGGGCCACCGCCCAAAGTAGGAACGGGGTCGAGCAGAGTGGAGCTCTGACCACCCTGCAGAGGGTGAGATCAGAAGACCCTCGGCCGTCACCGAGACCAGACGTGTGCAATCGAGTCTGAATCGTGTGTGACCCACCAATACATCTGTGCCGAGAAACTTGAATCTGCAAGGGCCAACACCTGCCCACCGTGCCCCAGCCCTGGGCCCGTGAACGACGGCGTGCTACACAGCAGTTCACTGGCACAAGCGACAATCCATGATAATGAGGTGGTTCTAGCATGTGAACAACGGAACCAATGGGGCGTGTAAGGCGGCAAACCCCACTGCAACTGCACTGCTACCGGAGTATGAGAGTTGAACACTCCGGCGACTACAAGAGGGTAAGGCCAGCAGCAAACCCGATCAAAAGCACATTTACTTCAGGAGGTGACCGTAGCAGTCGATAAGGAAAGCATCTGATGTTCCATCCAAGGTAGGATGATGACTCGGTCGATTTGCTTCATTAGACGGATGCAGAAGCAGCGAATCCGACCAACAGCTTGCTTACATACTTCAGGAGACTGCAGCAGACTCGAGAAAGTCGTTGTCTTTTACGATCTGTTTTCAGACCAGCCAACCGGAACCAGATGCCCTGCACTTTGCACAGGTGGAATACCACGATAGACCGATGTTTCGCCACGTTGGTATAGGAGTATGGCTTTAGGGAGCAGCGAAGGAACTCTCCTAGTGCGCTGCTCTAGCCAGAGCAGGATGAGTGCTCCACATCACCCCACAGGTCAATTTGAGCTGACCGATACCGGCATACTCCGTCTGCAGCCTGGATGCGAGGCATCCCTTGGATCAATTAGAGTGCCAAGTTACGTAAACGGTAAGGGACAGTTCAAGCTCAGCTTGCCGGTTGCACCGATAGTGGATCTATTCTCACTTAACTTTTCCATGAGTCTCTGGAGAAATATCACCCCAATCGGCTTGTCAACATCTCGTCCTTGTTTTGAGCCATCTCACAGAATTCCACAGATATCAGTAAAGATGCAATAAACTGCAGAGGGCTTGGAGTGTCGGCCTTGAGAAGCCTTTAGACGAGATCCATGAGGATTCTCGAATCTTGAGCCCAGGACATAGCCACGATGTTCACACATCAATCGGCCCTCTCGATGCCCTCAGGTATTCGCACTGGCACCGGTGACAGAGTCGCCTCAACAGCGGTATCAAGGATACCTACCCAAAAAGGTCCGCACTGAGACCCTAAACTCTTGGCAGACAGGTTGGCTTTGCAACACTCCACGCTACAACATGTACGTATCCTAGACCAGTTTGTCTGCCCCAGCCAGCTCTGAGTACATCTCTCCCGTTGTTTTGGCCAAAAAACTGACGGAAGCATACGATTTTGTATGAGCTACCAAAAACTCAACGCTATTAGCAAAAGGAGAACCTTTCCTCTACCAAAAACGGATGAGCTCTTAGCGAAAATAGGAGAGAACCGACCAAAGTGGTTCAGCAGTTCTGATTTGACAGCCACATTTCGTCAAGTGCCAATAAGGGAACAAGACAAACACAAAACTGTCTTCGTACTTCCATTCGGGCTGTTCACATATCAGGTCCTGCCGATGGGCCTTAGCGGGTCCCCAAGGACTTTCGCCAGGTTGGGACAGGAAATATTCGGAGGAATGTGTCGCCAAGTGCCAATAATGGAACAAGACAAACACAAAACTGTCTTCGTACTTCCATTCGGGCTGTTCACATATAAGGTCCTGCCGATGGGCCTTAGCGGGTCCCCAAGGACTTTTGCCAGGTTGGGACAGGAAATATTCGGAGGAATGTGTCGCAGAGCCTTGCTCCACCCTGCACCCTCACAGATTACACTTTCAACCTTGCAAAATCCTATTATCTATGCTAATCGTGTGACGGATGAGGCGGTCCGGCCCACACGCTGTGTCGAGGAACGAGTTTATCTCTACTATAGCGAAATTAAAAGCTGCGAGCCCGTCTCTTTCTGTTTAGAGACTCCTACTCTTTCCCTTACCCAGAGAAATGAGACGGTCGCCCAGTCCACAGCCATCATTCATTCCAGTGGTCTTTTCGATTCTTTTCTCTCGACCGCTTCTTCCTTGGGATCTTCCACTTCTTCCACTTATTCAACACTACAGCAGGTCGCCGCTATCTTCATCTTTTCGATGGCAATAAATCTATGCCGTCGCTAGCCAATATACATCTTGGCTATATCGTTCCTTCGGCTGCTCTTCGAGACATTCATTTTGGCTATATCACCATGTACTTATACTTACGGCTGATGTCATGGCGGTGTGGCGGCAATTATCTTGATGTGTTGCCACGTGCTTTATGTGCATACTTGCATCCTTTTAAGCCAGATCGCCATAGACGGAAATCATGTATAACTCTTAAGGATTGTATGTGCCCGTTCGTATGTCTGATGTGCACATGTGACATTGATACCGACCATACTCCCATCACCTGTTGCGGCATACCGTCCCACTCCTCATGGGCCACAATGGACTGTCACATACACACGGCTGACCGCGCTTCACGTCTCCGCTGCCTGGCCAAGGGCCCGGCCGGCAGCCGGGACGTCCGGTAACTGCCGAGCCAACCACACCGCCACTGCCTCCGTTACCTTCGATAATCCGAAACAAACAACCCAAAACGAACAAAACGCATCTGAGTCGGCACTACGGTGGAAAGGTCGATGGACCAGTCGCGACAGTTTTCTTGAACAATTTGACCTCAAACACCTCAAGGCGGCATTGAGGCTGGAAGTAGAACACCTATTGTGCGAATTCGAAAGTATCTTCGCATCACATGTGTAGCATCTAGCCCTAGCTTCCACTCACCAAAATTTCAAAATCATGCTTGTCTTTGTTCGTACGATGCTTCACCGCTCGGCGGCGCACAAACGCGATGTAACATCTGGATCTTGGCAAAGGTTGACAAGTGTATATAAAACTGCAAACTCAGCCGACGATGACCGACAAGTGCGCAGCGATGTAACATCTGGATCGTGTCAAACGTTGACAAGTGTACATCGAACTGCAAGCTCAGCATGCGTCACAACCGACGATGACTGACAAGTGCACAGCGATATAATGACAGGCGACATCTGCCTCATATCACCATAGTAGGTACTGCAAATGTGTAATGACGTTGCGTTTATGTTAGGTAACATCGGTGTGGTGTCAGCGCGCATATGCACACAAAGAGATCACGAGGCCAGCAACGTGACCCGTGCATATAAAAACCTGCTGGCAAGAGGTAGGTCAAGTTAGTCCAGACCAAGGCACTGTACAGTCAAGACCTCAGTCAAAGGGCGGCGCAAGATCCACCGGGTCATACGTAAACGTGTCCCCTGCTCGGCCAAATAGAAGGAATCTAAGACAACTGAGTTTCTTCTGATCCGAGTCGGCTTCACCACCACCGAGAATTGCAACAGGGGCACCGTGCTACACAAGATTTCGCTCTAGGGCAAGTCCAGATCGCTGCACATACCATTACCCTGCGCACCAGCTCGTCACAAGTGTATTGCCGTTACTATCGATGCTCGGAGGCGGAGCGCGATGAGCTGCACCGCCAGCTGCAGCTCATGCTCAAACATAACATCGTCGAGCACGCCTATGACGGATACCGATCACCCGTGTTGCTGGTAAAGAAGCCAGGTGCCTAATCAGCCTCAGACCAGTATCGCCGTGTACAATCGTTCGTAAAATTGAACGAGGTAACGGAGCAGATTAGGTACCCGCTGCCAAACATGATGCAGATATTGGAAGATTTGAGAAGGTGTAGCGAGGGAATTTAAGAGCGGGGATCCTTTGTTTCATGAGAGAGCTTCATTCCCTTATCTTATCTTCAACAACTTCTTCTATGTCCTTTTCAGTATTCGTAAAACCGCTTCCTCTCATCAGCCGCCATCATAAGCTTCATCATCTTCACACAGCTTTTTTTAGCTAATCCTCTTCCTTCACGTCGACCCCTGCAGCACGTTCATTTCCACTGCTGTCAGTATTTCGAACACCGGCTCAATTCTTCAACTTCTTCCTCTTCTCCATACCGTTGACCTCCAGCTCATCAACTTCGGGTTCGGCGGCTTGTGCCAGCCTATCAGCTTCACAATTTGAGAATCATCAAAGTTATTAACGGCTGTGATGGTTCCTTGCAGGGAAATTTGGAGGTCGCCCGCCGCGACATGGAGCGGGCCCGCCGGAGAAATAAGGAAATAATTCAACGGCTTCGGAAAATCATCTACACATTACATTCCCCAAACTACGCCCGGCCAGAATGGCTTGATGGGGAGGTCGAGTGGGCTCTTCTGGAGCTCTCTTGAGCCCAGCTCAGGTAAGGATCATCAACGTTGACTTATCCAACGTTTAACGCCATATACTGTTGAATATTTCGGCCAACTCTCCACAACCATTTTAGCATCCGAGCTCCGATATCAGCTCTTGCCCCCCTTTTTGATTACTGGGGCTTGTTGTTCACAATCGGTAGTGTGCGTAGCTGCGAGGGTCTATGATTTACTTCTAACACCAATTTACGTTTGTTACAGATACATCGGCGAAGTCGTTTGTCTGAAGACCCCCGTGCCTCGTTTGTCATAGTTGAGTTTTGTCATGGTTGACTTGAAATACATATTTACGAAATTTCCCACCTGTATCTGCGCTTTTATTCAGTGACAGCTAAAATTTCGAAGGTAGCGGAAGCGACCACCGACGAAATCACGTATTAGCGGAGAGCGTGGTGATCATACGACTGAACGATAAGGCGGCGGTGCACCGCCGCTGTGGCTGTGGGTTGAGATCAGTTGGAGATGATATGAAACGCTAGAGCAGTGTCGATGTAGCGCCCCGTTCCACCGCTGAACGTTAACAATTTATACAATTGTCACCGGGACACACCCGTTCCGAGAAGCAGCTTATTATGGTGGGACTGTTTATAATTGGCTCTTATCAAACTTGACATGTGTATAAAAGAGAGCCAACTCGCCCTTCCGGTTCTTTTCAAATGTCGACAGATGTATAAAGAAGTATAGGGTCAACATGCGTCACACCCAGCGATAACTGACAAGTACGCGGCATTGTTATGATAGGTGTGTTCTGCCTTTTGTCTCCATTGTATATGTAACGAATTAAATCACACTCTGTATTGAAACCCATGTTGAAAAGAGAATACTTCAAGCATCGATTTCAGCCAAAAAAGAACAAAACGTCCGATCAAGAACTTCAGACTTCAGCATCACTCGAAACTAGCCGACAACAACAATAAGGCGCAAAATACCAGCCTTGACCAGACAAAGGTCACGTGGCTCACCACGACCGCACCTCCCAACGCGGCAAAACACTCAACTCCAATTCGCACATCCGTGACATCAATTAAATGCAACACAACAAAACGACGCAGATCTAATAGCGAGTCACAACTAAATTCACAACATCCTCCCCGCCTTTGGATTGCCTTGACAATCCAAACCTATTTTGCCTCAATCCGTCCAGCCCTTTCTCATTCGAACTGTCTATGAGGGGACAGAGGTAAGAAGAGGGGCGCGCTGCCTGCTGCTGTCAGGTGGAGGGCATCAGTCGAGTAGTCCCAAGTCATAGAGTCTCTGGACTGCCCGGGTCCTCAAGTGCCCTCCCTGGGTTCGAACCTCAGCAGACCTGGTCACCCCATCTCTGCCAGGGAACAGCTTAGTGACGGTCCCCATCACCCACTTCATTCGGGGAACGTTATCCTCCCTGACGAGTACCACCGACCCCGGCTGTAGCTGACCTTGATGCGAAAACTTGCGCACCGAGTGAGGGAGGTTCCGCAAATATACATCCCTCCAGACCGTCCAGAAACGGTTCAGACGCCTCTCGCGTACCCTAGCCCTGTCGGAGAGCGCTCTACCACTTACCGCTTCTGGATCCTCCAGCAGCCTGGCCTGGAAGCCGGCGCCACGTCCAGTGAGGAAATGACTGGGCGTCAGTGGACTCTCGCAGTCGATCGCGTCAGTCACCTGAGTCAGTGGACGTGAATTCACACATGACTCGACCTCAGTCAGCACAGTCTCTAACTCCACTTGAGTGAGACATCTTGTGCCGAGCGACTTCCTGAGTCCCACCTTCACGGAGCGCACCAGTCGCTCCCACCAACCGCCCCACCACGGTGAGTTTGGCACGATAAACTTCCACCGGGGAGCGAGATGTCCAAAGTACCGCTGCATCAGCTGATCAGCTCCGCTGAACGTTCGCGCGTTATCTGAATAGATAACAGACGGCAGAGTCCTTCTGGCAGCGAAACGTCTGAGCGCCATCAAAAAGTCAGCCTGTGACAGTGATCCTGTCAACTCCAGATGCACTGCGCGTGTCACAGCGCAGGTGAATAGGCACACATAGAACTTTCTTCGCGGGCAGTCCACCGCGAAAATCGGCCCCGCGAAATCCACTCCTGTGACCGAGAACGGCGGCGCACGGGTTACCCTGTCGCGAGGGAGCGGCGCCGCCGGCTCGTTACACTGGACAGCATCCTGCCGCTGACAAACCAAACACGAGCGTTTGATGCGCTTTGCCAGGCAGCGGAGACCCACGATCCAAAAGGCCGCTCGGAGTGCAGTGATCAGAGTAGACACACCACAGTGGCACATCATACGATGCTGGTCCCAAACCAGCAGTTCGGCCACCCGTCCCTTTGGGAGCAAAACAGGGTGTCGCTCCTCACTGGTTAACTCAGACTCCTGAAGCCTGCTCCCGATTCTCAGGAGCCCGTCGTCGCCTATGAAGGGAGACAGACGGTATACCCTCGAACTTTTAGGTACTGGCTTGCCCCGTTGTAGGGCGCTGAACTCCGCTGCAAAGGCCAGTCGTTGTTCCTCTCGCAGCAGCAGGTGCCTGGCCGCCACCAACTCCTCGGCCGAGAGATCGCCAGTGGACCGATTGTGACGCCCAGACCGCGCGTTGTGGCGGAAGCGGTTCACCCAAGCCACCACTCTGACCGCCTTGTTCATAGACGACCAGCGGCTGCAGTCGAATATTGGGGCACTCTGTGCCGCAGTCACCAGAGCTGGGAGGCCGGCGCTCCCAACCACCGAGACACCGGCATCATCCAGCTCGCACGACAGAAGTGTTGCCTCCGGCAGCTCTTCACTGGACACGAGAGGCACTGACTCATCAGCCCCGGGACGAGCCTGAGGCGTAGCCAGCCACCTGGGACCACGGAACCACAGCTCCGATCCGCTCAGACACTCAGCCGATACTCCGCGGGTCGTCAGATCTGCTGGGTTCTCCTCACCTGGACAATGAGACCAGTCCGAAGGAGCGGTCAGACCCTGTATCTCCGTCACTCGATTTGCAACAAATTGCTTCCATCGCCTAGGCTCGCCACGGATCCATCCTAGTGCGATCATCGAGTCTGTCCAGCACCGAGTCTCTGTGTCATCAGGAAGCCTCAGAGCCTGCCTCACAAGAACGGCTAGGCGTGCAGCCAGCAGACTTCCCAGTAGCTCAAGTCGTGGCAGAGTAACACTCTTCAGTGGCGCCAACCTCGCCTTGGCCATGACCAAGGTCACCTCAATAGAGCCATCTGACTGGGAGACCCGGAGGTAGACCGCTGCCCCGTAGCCCTTAGGAGAGGCGTCACCGAAGGCGTGAATCGAAACGCCAGCACCACGGTTCCAGCCCTCAGTCGAGTAGCAGCGGGGAATGTGAATCTGCTGGAGCAGCTCCAGACCTTTCAGCCACTCCATGAACATCAGGCTGGACTCCGAGGGAAGCTCATCATCCCACCCAATACCGAGCTTCCACAGCTCCTGGAAGATGCGTTTTGCAACCATCACGAACGGAGCAACAAACCCCAAGGGGTCGAATAGCCGAGCTATGCAGCTCAGCACCACACGCTTGGTCGGAGACACATCAGCAGGGACAGTGAGGCCCTCGAACGAGAAGACGTCCTCAGCTGGACTCCAACTCACCCCCAGGACCTTCACACTCTCGAGCTCGCCTGTGCCAGAGGCAGCGTGAGCCTTGTCGAACATCACTGAGCTGTTTGACGTGCACTTCGTCAGGATCATACCGGCGTCAGCCATCACGGCCTGAGCCTCCGTCAGCAGAGCGCTCGCCTCCTGCTCAGAGTCGGCTCCCGAAAGGAGGTCATCAACATAAAAGTTCTCGAGCATCTCAGTTATCGCGCGAGAGGGGGGATACCTTGAAAGGTGATGGCGGATAGTCGCGTTCAACAAGAACGGACTGGAGCTGACCCCAAAGGTCACCCTTCGAAAGCGCATCACCCGCTTCCGACCCTCATGAATCCAGAGGAACCTGTGAGCGTCCCTGTCTTCCTTCCTGAGGCCCACCTGCAGGAAGGCTTTGCTGATGTCCGCCGTCACGGCCACCTTCCAGCGTCTGAAACGAAGCAGCACGTCTACAAGACTGGGAATCAGACACGGTCCCACCTCAAGGCAATCGTTGAGCGAGACACCATTGGGACCAGTTGCAGAAGCGTCAAACACCGGTCTCACCCGAGTCGAAGTGCTGGATTCCTTTACAACAGGACGGTGAGGCAGGTAGAAGCAAGGATAAGGACCATCCAGCTCGTGGCTGGGAACCTCCTCCACCACACCCGCCTGCTCCATCTCCTGGAGTGCCTCCGAATAGGCCACTCCCAGCTCTGGGTCTCTGTCCAGCCGACGAGACAGACCCGACAGGCGCGCCTCAGCGGCGGACCTGTTCTCTTGGAGCTTCTTTTCGCTGCCAGCCTTCCACGGCAGCGCCACCTCGTACCTACCATCAACTTTGCTCACAGATGCATCAAAGTGGGTAAGCACCTCAGAATCGGTCTCCTCTGGCTCACTGATCCCAATCCCTTCGAGGGACCACAACCGCCTCAGAGACCGCTCGTGAATGTCACCAAGACACAGCAGACATGTGGCGCTGCCCACCGTCCTAGCACCATCTGGCGCACTCACCTTACCGGAGATGATCCACCCCAGCGCGGTCTCCTGCGCCACGGGTCCCCCTTCCAGCCGAATCTCACCCTGTTTCATCAGATCCCAGTAGCAGTCCAGCCCCACCAGTATGTCTACAGTCAGTTGTCTGTCAGAGGGCGGATCAGCCAGCTCCAGGTGACTGAAGGACTGCAGCACAGCAGCAGGCATGCGTGGGCGCTGGAGTGGCATGCATATCACAGGGATCCTGATAGCCTGAACGGAAAGGGCTGTCGGAGAGGCTACATTGGAGCCAACCATCTCCACTCGGTACACATCTCTGTGCTCAGCAGATGAGCCAGTCCCTCCAAATGCCGCATAGGATACTGTCTCAGAGCCTACCCACTCGGGCTCAGCTGACTTAACGAGTCTGTCACTGACATATGTCCTATCACTACCTGTATCGAAAAGCGCAGTGGCTTCTACTCGCTGTCCGCCGCGACCTACTACAGTTACACGAGCGGTGGGCAGCACTGTGCAGCTCCTCTCTAGACCACCACTCTTGCATGACAGGGATGGATGCTGAGCTGGGTTTGAGCCACTGCTACGGATACTGCTATCACTGGCTCCTGTCGCACCCCCTTGATCGCGCTGCATACCCCCTCCATGTAGCTTGAAACAGCACACTACATTGTGCCGTCCACCACACTCAGCGCACACTGCCCCACACTTTCGTGCAACATGCCCAGCATGCATGC